TCCTGCTGCAGATGCTCTGTGGAAAAAAATGCTGTTCTTGAAAGGACACATTCTGGTGTTCTCAGAAACTGTCTGAAAGGCAAGTACCAGGCTTCAGCTGAAAACTGTGAAGCTTCTCTTCAACATGCACCCTCAATCTCTCTCACCTTGTATTTAATCTCCTTCCCTCACAGTGTTCCAGAAATCACTACTGAAGTACTTCAGACACACTACTAAAGTTTGCAGCATAATCTATTACCACTTAAGTAAAAATAATGAAGCCTCTAAGAAGTGTAACATTATTATTATAAAGCCTGCAAGAACTGTAACATCATTATTATAAAGCTTGTAAGAATTATATAACATTATCTGACTGGCTATACTTGCCAGGAAAAAATATTTCCCAATTAACCAGAGTTGCATTTCAGAATTTTAAAATCTTTCCTTAGCACAACATAGACAGGCCTACAAACCACATAAGAATATTAGTAACTGAGAATAACATTTCATTAAGTAGATTTTGCTTAGGAGTCAAAAAGGATTTTAAGTTTTATAGATGCATTAAAATCAACTGCTCTTTTTACTTACAAACTGTCAAGAGAATATCAGAAAGAGCTCAGTGGTCACTTCTTTTACTGTGATCTAGTAAGTACTTTTCCTGTATTTCTACAAAAGCAACTGGTTAACTAGTCACTACACAAGCATTCGTATACATGTGAGCAACCACAAGAGTGTGACACACAAGACAGGGTAAGCGAAAAGGGAGGGAAGCTCACCATGACCAAAAGGCAGGGGAAAGGGGAATCCTAGTCATCACTGAACACTCCTGTGGCTTACTTTACCTGACAGCACCTGAATAAGTATCTTCCCTACCGCTCCTGTTCTAAGAATTGTTACACATCCCAATCAAACCATCAGGGTACAGCAGCACTGAGAGATGTACTGTTCCGCCACGTCAGTGATTCCAGAGAGTGGACGGAAGGATTCAGGAAATGTCACACTTGGTGTAAACAGAAAGCAGGACTGTGCATCCAAGAGACATACAGCAGCTACTGGCAACAGTGAACTGCATCAGCTAAGCTAGATGCTTGCAGACCCTCAGACAGAGCAACTGAAGGGATTTCTAGAGAAGGTTCACGTACACCCTGTATTACATATGGCATCACAAATAGGATGTCAGGTTCATCTTCGAGTGGTGAAGCTTTTTAAAATTTCCCTTTTCCTAATGTCTTCCTCCTACACTCAATGTGTCATTCAGAATTTAAACGCAACCTTAGTAACAATCCCTTTCTTTACTCCACAGTAACTTTGTATTTCTCAGACATCCAATGCACATCACGTACAGTATCTGACTGGACACAACAGCACTGCCATAAGAGAGCAAAAAACTCACCTTGCCCATCTTCTTTGAACACCAGTTCCCTCTTTTCTGATTCATTCTCATTCTTACCTCGACGCCTATTTTTACCTCCTTTGCCTAAATTACAAGGAAAAAAAGAGCATATGTTACTATCTGTGACTGCAGTCAAAGAAACAACCAGACTTGTGGGGATTTCTGTGTTTGTTCTCTACATGGCTGCTCTGACTATCCTATCCAGTTTTAACGACTTTAGCTCTAAATATTTCACTGAGTAATAACACAGTAATTAGAAGTTAGAGCCTCCACTATTTAAGAGGCCCTGGTTGCTCCGGGGTGGCAGAAGCCTTGAACAGGGCTTGCAGAAGATAGCCATTTTCAGTTTTTGAGACTGCTGCTGCCAAACGTCTGATGAACAACGGTGACATAACTCGACGCATGTAACTAACAAAGAGCAAAAGAATAATCTGTGTGGTTGCTGAAGCCCCTGAAACACACAGGGAAAAGCTTACATGCCAAGTGAAGACGCCCTTTTTAAAAGGCACAGGCGTGGCAAGAGGACTAAGTGCTCTCCACGAAAACGCAGATCAGCCTTCCCCTCTTTCTTATCCTCCTTCCCCCGGCGGGCGGGGGGAAAGGCCCGAAGCAGACGCGCCCGGCAGCTCAGGGCCAGGCGCTCTCACCGGGCCGTTGCCTCGGCGGTGCCCCCGCC